AAGTTCTCTATTGCAAAGGCTGGCAAAGTAAAAGAGAAACAGCTGACCGTGCCCTTTTAAAGAAGTCTTCTTGTTCACATCTGCCAGGAGTTTACATCAGCTGGGAACAGGGAGGCTACCATGTGGAAACACACAGTGAAACACGAACCCTCTGTGGTTTGCTCCAGGGACACTGAGATGAAGGAAACCCAGTACTGGTTGATGGAGCGCCCGGTCCGGCTCCCACCCGCGGTCAGAGGCGGATGCGAGTGCAAAGGCATGAAGCCGCTGCGGTACCGGCAGTACCGCAGGGACGGGACCGAGCCTGCTGGTCAGCTAGTGCGTACTTGCAAGCAGGCTGAGCTTGGAGTGAAAGAGTTTATGTCACATTTTTTTGTCCTCTGTGTCAGCCTAGGAACGTGCACCCGGACAATTAAAGCAGCTCAGCTGATGGGCAGTAACTTGAATGTATGTTTAAAGCCCAAATGTTGCTTGGCGCTGCAGTACTTCCCCGCAGCAGCAAGTCCCATACGTTTCAGCTGCATTAAACAGCTCATAATGTCCTCTCCTCGTAGGAAGGACTACGCAGAGAGGATTTCAATTATCTCCATTAGCCTCATTTCCAAAATACTGAGCTCCACGACTGTACACTAACCCCAGCGAAACTATTGGGTGAACTGAAAGAGTTGTGAGGAACTGAAGAAGCTTCACTCCTCCCTGGTCCTTCTCCCTGCCTGGCAAATCTGCTTCTGTCCTACCCAGCGGTTTGTGGGATGGCAGACAAGACCTGGGCTGCTGTGCTGCCCCGCAGTGCCGGCACCAGCGATAGCAACAGTCACCCACAGCACAGCACGGACCCACCCAGTACAGAAAAGCTGCTGGGATTATCGGGGACCTTCAGATAAAGGAGCAAATTCTGTTTGCTTTGATTAATGCATTGTCCGAGACAGATAAGGGCAGGCATGGGGAATGGCGGGCAGACTGTCAGGAGGCTTCCTGACATGCTCAGCTAGGACTCAGCCTGCTCCCCCACTTAACCCATTTGGGATTTAAGATGCAGTTCATTGCTGAGCACTTCTGGAGGAGAGCAGGTCTGTGGACAGCAGATTGACACGGGATGGAAGGACGTGGATTTACAGTGAGGTGGGTACAAATTTCGCATTTATTTTTTGGAACAGAAGTCTGGAATGTCGGACCGGCACATCATGGGCTGTAAGACACAACCAGGGAAGATGCCACCTTCTAATAACGCTACTGCTCCAGTAGCCAGGCAGCAGTCAATGAAAGCATCCTACAACCACTGCATCATGCGCAGCCTAGTACCATCCTAACATCTAGTAATAAAAATTGAGACTGTTGTAAGCCTTCAGGAGCACCTAATTTCTTTTCCAATAAAATACCTAGCCACTGCTTAACAAAATCCATGGACGCCCTCAGGTCCACTTCGCTTCTCGTTGAGCTCTCAGCCCCGGGTCTACAGAGCTCTCCTCTCCATCAGGAGCGCCGCAAGGGCCATAACTCCCACAGTCTGATCTGGACTCAATTAAAAAGCAAACGACACTGAGCGAACAGGAGGGTCTTAAGAAGTCTGGAGAGTATATTTTGGTTATGTAGCATGGTAAGAACTCCAACATTTAATATTGCAAAGAAAGTGGAAAAAAAAATTCTGTTTGATAGCTACATGAATTTTGATTTTAGAAACTTGGAGTAACTGAATAAAGGCACAGTGAGAAAGCTGACAATAAGAACTCCTAGGGACTGAAATGGTGTGTGGGGATAAATTATACTGTCTTTCTCTACTGATTCCTCTTGTTTAGGGTCTCTTGGGAGAGGTCTGATACTTGAAACATTGGTTTACACCTATTAAATGTTACGTTATAATTTGTGGCAATCCAAAGCCAATATGAGATGACATCTTTCAACTACAATTCTCTTCTCTCCTGCCTCTCCTCCCTCATTCTGCTGGCCAGGAAATAACAGTTCTGGGACGCTACCAGCATGCCTTCACAAATCTACATAGTGTTTTACAGTCCCGGAACTTGAACACAACAGTTTTGAGCACTGAAAACAACCGAGGCCTAAAGCTAAGGAAAAATGCTGCAGGGAGAAATTTCACAGGACATGGTTGAAAAGAAAAAATATCTCTACAGGATTTCACCAACAGCTCAGGGGGAAAACTATTCTCATGAAGGTGGGCAGCAAGAGCTGCCTTCAAAGGGCAGGAAGAGCCCGGGTGGCTGAACATGCTGGAACAGGGTCTGAGCTACGCACGGGGAGGCAACACAGGTTCAGACGTTGAAAGCTGGAATGACAGGAGAAACCTGTGCTCAAGCAGTCACTTGAAAAAAAAACAACAACACTTGGGGATGGAGGGTGCCAGGGCTGCAGCGCAGCCAGCATCAACGGGGACTTTATATGTGCCACTGTTACTGCTCCGCTCCCGAGCGCGGGTCACAGCCCTGACCGCTGTCGGACAAAGCAAGTGAAGTGTCTCCAGTGCATCCATAATCAGGATGGGCTTTCTTAATGAGTTGCTTTTCTTTTCGTGGGTATATTCCCCTATTCAGCACCTCTGTTTTGTGTGGCTTCCTGGAAGCTCCTGGGTTTGCCTTGCCACGGGCAGAGGTCGGGGCACTTGTCGGGGCACACCGACCACGCGGCTACGCAGCGTAGGGTGGAAAGGACCATCCTCCATTAGTGCCTCCCTCCTTACCGATGACGACAGCTGGTGACTCACTTAAATTAGAAAGCTAATGTCCAAGTTATTTGAAATTAATTCTGCCCTTAGTAACAGCCTCAAGGCTGCCGGGGGAATGGCCAGCACGGCGAGTGCCTGAGGCACCTGCCTCTCTGCTCCCAGGGAGTCATCGCTGCTGCAACAACTCTACAGAAAACAGGATGGCAGAAGAGACAACCCAAGGGGTAAAGTGCCCTAAAACTGCAGCCGTGCAATTAAACAAACCTGACGTTGCTTCGGGAGACCCAGTCCTATCTCTCAGCAGTGGGGACATTTGGCCAGTGGGATGCTTTGGACCCCCCGCAGCTTTGCCTCTGCCAAGTGCCGAGGCAGCATCCTGATCTGCATCCAGCACTGCCCCACGTTCCTGGGGGAGCTGCGGAGTTAAATTCCTGCCTGATCAGATCCCGCACCCCCATTAGAGGGACTCCTGCTACACAAATCCCATGCGCTTCCAAGAGGTTTTTCAGCCAAGCCAGCACTCCTGACCCAGCACCGTACCTCCCTGCCTTCCTACGGCGGGTGTTCGCTCTGGCTCCATCAGCTCCGCACAAGAGTTGACTACCAGGACGGAGGGAGCAGTGGTGATGGCAATGGCAAGGGATCTCCCTGCTGACAGCCTGACCTACTTAATCCTCCCTCCGCCACTCGCACTCGCAGCGGTGACTCACAGCTGCCTGGGGACACGATGCCATATCCTCTCCATAGCACTGATTTCATATCATGCTCTTCTGCTCTATTTTTTCCCTGTTAAAGCCTCATAGACAACCCAAGAGCAGCATTAACTATTATATGTATTAACTAGTATATGGTTTTAATTTAGACTAGCTCACGTTACGATCTACAAATTGTAATTTGGCACCACTGGTTTAAAAGCTGACATAAATGTATACGTGCATACTTTAAAGACAGCTCTTGAAAACCCCAGCTCCTCCCCGAGGCCTGCGTCAGTCATCCCAGTAATTCACCCGTGCAGTTGCCTTTCCTGAAAACCCCGTGACTAGCGAGAGACTCTGCAGGGTCCCCTTCCCCACGGGGTCCCCCCTTCCCCGCAGGGTCCCCGGGCAGTGACTGCAGCTGTGCAGCCTCCCCAAGGCCACTGGCTCTTTCTTCCTACGCTCCCCACAGAAAACAAAACGAACCTTGGCCTCTAAAATTAGGGACTTTATCACTAACCTCGCCACCGAGACCGGTGGCTATGGCTAACGGGGCTCTGACACCCACCCGGCTCCTCTGCTCCGGTCCCCCCATGCGTTCGCTGTGCCTGGAAACGCTGGTTTGCTCCAAGGCTTTGCACCCAGGCGTGCACCGACCCCTCTGCAAAGGGGCGGAGCGGCAGGGAGGAATCCGAATGCCTTCTCTATCTCAGACCTGCTTCTTCTGATAACAAACCCTGAATGCTTCCTGGAACATCTTCTCCAAAGAGGAGGGAAATGGATATTTATTTAGAGGTTTCCTGCTCTCATCTTTTTCTCTAAACCTGTAGAAAGCGTAGGCTTGAACTATCCAAGAGCAAAAAAACCATATTGGCCTAAATTAGGAATTGTACCAGTGAGGATTTACCATTGTCTAATTAAATGATGCAGGTTCAGAGGAAAAAAAAACAAAACAGTATGTTAAGCAAGCATTTAATCTAGTGCAGACATATTCCTACCCAGTATGAAGGCCACCACGTAGTTAGAGATCTGTCCCATCCCCACTATGAGGAAGAGCACTGTGAACATCTCCCAGCTGGTAGAGAAGATCTGCAGGAAGCTGAAGCCAGTCTGCACTGCCATCGTCAAAAAAAGGATATTCTTCCTGCCAAACCTTTTGCAAAAGATAAAGGAGATTATTATTGAAACAGCGCTTATTTATGGAGCAGGGCTATATAAGAAAGCGTGAGGGAGCACAAATATCCAACCTCGAGAGATGTAGCTTAGAACAACCTGAAGTTTCATTCATTTTAAAGAATTTTATTTATCATTTTCATAAGTGCTAAAAAAAAATAAGTAAAATTTCCAAGACCCGGGAAATAAACCAAGAAGAAAAATTAAGAGCAGAAACTTAAGGGAGCCACTAGACAGGGACTAAAGAGACTAGACAACAGTACATAAGTGAGAGACACCTGAAGATTGCAAGCCACGCAGCCGAAAGTTAGGAAATGATGGTGTTTAGGCTACTGGCGTCTATACATTGCAACACCATGACACTTTGAATCTGTTAAATAGCTTTATCAACTGGTTTCAGTCTCTCCGAGTTGCTATACATATTGCACCCTTTCTCGCACCCACTTTGCATTAGAAGTACATAGCATTTTCTTATGGAAAGGTAAGAGCAAGCTTACGTACGGGTTTGCACGCCCGCGTGCTGGCCCAGGGCACGCTGCGCTCTGCACGGATGCTGCACGGGCCGCATCGCCGGCTGCCTGCAGCAGCCCTTGACTTAGGAAAGGTTTCCGCAGCAGCCCAGGGGAGATGGCTCAGGTACAGGTACAAAACATAGCCCTTTACCGACAAACCATTAAAAAAAAATAAAAATTCAACTAATAGCTCACGCTAGAAGGTGACCAGGCTGTCGGGCAGGCTGACTGGCTGCGCTGCCGCCGGGCACGCACACATTCTCAGATGCTCCCAGTGGGCACATGGCACCAGTGAGATTTAGTGATTATCTCGTCTCTCTTTCAAACAGTAACACTGTTGGACTGCTGCACCGGGGGCAGGAGTCGGGAGATTAAATTCGGATCACATGGAATTTAATGCTGGAGGCTTTAGGATTAAGACTCCCATCGAGTTTTGAAACCCCTCTGGTAAACACCCAGAGGAGCGCTGAAACTCTTACGAATTCCTCACTAACACGCAGCAATCAAAGCAGTATTTGAGACCCTGCCATAATGATATGGAAAAAAAAGCTAAGGGATGTATAAAGAGGGAAGCAGAGACTCACAGAAGGAACATATATTCTGCATTTGACATTTGTAAGGCCAGAACTTTAATACTGCCGAGATAATTGTCAAGTGCCTGTAATGTTTTCTTGATATTTTGCATCTACTCAGTTAGATGGTATGACATGATTGCTATCCATTTACAGGTTATCTTTTTTTCTTCCTCTTGGATATGCTTACTTTATTTCCAGCAAACCACCTCTTCTATGCAGAGCTTCCATTCAAAGGACAAATTTCTATCCTGCAGCTCTAAGAATGGACTGTCAGTTAATGTGTGACAAAGAACAACATCTTTGAAACTACTAAAAAGGCCGGATAAAGAAACAAACGTGGTCGTGAAGTGAAAACCACCACATCAATCTGCAAAGCAGCCACATGGGCTCCTTGCAGAGATCAGCTCCTGGTCTCTTAAAGCGCCCAAGAGGCAATAATCCTGCGCCTGGGGTAGATCAAGGTTGGGATTTTTGAAGGAGCCAGGCCAGTTACCTAATTTTGATCAAAACTCAGAGAATTGGACATTTAACTCCCTTATGCCTCTTAAGAACAAACGCACCAGCCGTGGCACCAGGTCTGCCCTGCTCTGCCCACGGGTGGAGCGGGAGCAGCGGCGTTACCTGTCCGAGAGCTGCCCCGAGATGAAGGAGCCGATGAGGACCCCCACGAAGAAGAGGGAGGTGGTCAGCGGGGCTTTCCAGTCGTCCTCGCACACCAGGTTCCACTGCAAGAGAAGGGCCCGCGCTCAGACACAATGCCGTATCGAGCCTCATCCAGGCACAGGGGTTACTGGCTGGAGACACACACTTCCCATGTCATTTAATCTAGTTTCCCCACACCCGCATTTCCACCCATTGCTGGCACCAGCACTGTTTTCACAGCGAAGGTCGCTGCCAGAACACCCTGCTTAAAGCACAAAAAAAAGGAAGAAGCGGTTGCCTCCCCAGGCAAGCCCCATCAGGCCGAAACACCGGCAGCCGTCTGACGGGACCCCATCACCTCTGAAGTAGGTGAGCGGCCAGCAATGCCAAACCTGATGGGCAGTCGGTGTGTGCAGCCTGGGGGCTGCACTGGCCCCGTTTCCAGCGAAATCTCCCCACCACGCGCCCATCAGGTCCCCTGACACCCAGGACCTGGCTCCCCATGGCCCGAGATGCTCCCCACCAGAAAAGCAGAGCGATGGAGATGGGTGGGAGACTGCCCCATCCCTGGCTAGGGATGGTTTCCAGTCTACCTGACCTCTGCCAGGACAAAAACTGCTGCATTTCTCTAATTTCTGGGTTCAACAAGACATATGCAAGAAGACGCACAGAATAAAATCTCTTTTCCCACGCTGACGTGTTTCCAAATTCCTCTCCATCCCCACAACCTGCAGGGCTGACTCACTGCCCATCACTCAGCCTCGCGACCGTACCCAGCTGGGGCTGGAGGCTTAGGACAGGAGCCAGTGTGGAAACTTCCACCTAAAGCCACTCGTAACCCCAGACAAGGTTTAAAAAAAATATATATAAAGAGCATCATGAGTCTCAGTCCACCAAAGTTACAGCTGAGTGTGCTTCTGCCATGGCTTGCTCCCTTCCCGGTGACTAATCTCCCAGTTAAGAGATGCCTGCCAGCAGCGCTTATGGATAGACTTCAAACACGTCAGTCTCAGATTAGATAATTCTACCACAAAGGTAAGCTAATTAGATCACAGATCAAAGTATAGTGTAATTTTAATAATTAGCCATGCTATCAGAGAGCGGGGACATTGCCCGCACCAGCGCTCACCCTGTGCTCAGGGAACGAAGGGGCTGAGCCACCTCGGCAAGTGGTGGCCGCCGAGTCCAGGCACAGGCAGAGGTGCTGGAGCAGAAACCTCCCCTCTGGGCTGCTCAGGCTCCTCGGCTCAGCTGCAGGCAGGAAAAAGGAGCAACTCTTGCATTACAAAGAGACCCAGATGCCATCTGACAGCACTGCGAGTCCTGCCAAAACCAAACCAAACAGCCGATGGGTCGGCAGCCAGGCTTCACTTCTGCTGCTGCTGCAGAAGAGCAAGCAGAAGTAAACCCCAAAGCAAGGGGGGATTTGATGTGGTTCAATGCAGTTTGCTCTGGACTATAATTTAGGAAAGAGATGCAATCAATGCCTGTTTTCAGGCGGAATGAAGGTACGCTGCCAGCGGGGGGGGGAGCCGGGTACCTCTGCCCCTCCGCCCAGCTTGCAAAGTAACACCAGCTACGGGACAAAAAGAGATGAACTGAACTTCAAAACGCAGCCCGTGCCTCTTCCTGAGAAACACACAGAGTCTTTAACACGGGACCATGGAGATTTGAGGACTGAAACGTGCCTCCAATACTTAAATCTGATTAATAACAAAAAGAAACCTACAGCAGTCGTTTCTGTAAGATATTTTCTCATCCCTGCTGGGAAGGGAGAGGTGGTGAGGCGTGGGCTGGCCTGGGCATGCACCTGAGTTTATCTTTGCTGTATTTGATAAGGTGGATGGGAGCGCACGGGTCAGCAGGGCTCTGATATGTTCAATGATGCTAGTCGTGAAAAACATATGCAGGGATCTGTTTCACGTGTCAAAGAAAACTGAGATTTCTGCAAAGAAGCTTGGTGGAAATCAAGCCCCCTATTTAAAACAAAGAAAAGTTCAGTTTCAGGAAACACAGCATTAAAAGCAAGAGTTTCTTTACACAGTGCAAGCAGGGAAGAAGGAAAGGCGGCAGAGGGGCAGCTTCTGGAAGCTGTGGGAGCTGCGGCAGCTCCGCGCCAGCCAGGCTCACCCAGTTCCCACACTACAGCGATATTTTGCCACGTCCTCCCACATCTCCCTCTCCCTGCTCTGGGAAAGCTGGTGACTAACGAGGTGGTAGAATTTGCAGCCGATACAGACTACTATTAATTATCTGGGTGCTGAGCACCCCACTCTGGGGCCACCAGCGCAGCGCCTGCTCCCGGACCTTCAGACTTCAGTCGCTCAAGGTTAAGGGTCAGCGTTTTTAAAATGCTTCCACCATGCCAAAGGCACTTTGGCTGCAAAATAAACCCAGCTAAATAGTAACTTGCCCATGAAACTGAGTTGCTTCCTGTGTTTCCTTGGTGCCAAATGCCTCCTACCCAGCTGCTCACTCTACCTTTTCCCATGACATACTGCACAGACAGCAAAAATTCACTGTACAGGGTTGAGTCTTTAACATTTGCAGGATGCGGTAAACAGCACGCAGCAGCCAGCTGGCTGGACAGGGGTTGCTGTCTGCAGGAACTCGCTGTATTTGACCAGAAAACACACAAACACATCAAATCCATCTAGCTCCAAGTACACCTGAAGCTGTTGAGCGAAAAAACCACGCCGCCTATTTTAGATCCAATACCACACACAGCACACGGGACCTGGGCGATGATTTATGCAGCCCTACTCTATAGGTACACCTCGTCTTCTACCAAAACGCCAGCCTCCCCTCCCCAAAGGCACTCACTCTGATGGAGGCTCAAGCCCTAGTGCTGCACAGTGATCAAGCACGCGTCGACATGGTAAGATTTCACTCGTGCTTGAATTTATAGGGCTTTAAGGTATTCATTGCGTGCTGACTCCTCGCAAGTGGTACTTGGGAAAAAATGAAATTTAACTTATTTGACCTCTTCCTCAGAGGCTGCATCCATCCCAGCCGGCGCCAAGCACACCATGGGCACAGGAGCTACAGCCCAGCCACAGCTGAACTACCTACAGCTACAACTTCCAAACTGTCTATACTGGAATAATTATTCATTAACCAGAAAATAAGTAATTCTGTAATGTCTCTGACTAAGCATACTGGAGAGCAAAGTTCATGTAAGCTTCTAAGCAAGTGCTTTGAATGCTAGGAATAAGAACTGCTCAAGAAGAACACTGTTAAGTCACTTTATTATCATCAAATCCCTCCAACCCTTTCCCACAAGCTCCCAGCTACCGGCTCCGGGAAGAGCCAATTCTGCCAGGTGCTGCCGGCGGGAACGCTATGGATGGAGAAGCTTTCTGGAAAACTGAAACTGCTGGAGAAGGTGTCCTGGCTGCCTGAAGTGACCCTGCCACCTGAGTTCTCAATCAGAAATCACGAATTAACCATCCTGAGTATAAGCCCATTCACACCAGAGAAGAAAACGCTAGCGGAGCCTCGTGTAAATGGCCGGGGCTGCAAACCAGGGAAAATCTGACCTTGTTTTTAAGAGTAAATCTGCAGACAAACAGCTCAAGAGTTATTAAAAAATCTTCACCAGTTGCCCTGACTACAGCAGCAGGGTGAGCTGCACCCTCCGTGCTGCACCCCAGGCACCAAGTCCAGCAATGAGACCAGCTCTGCTCAGTGCACGAGCGACGAGCACAGATACCTCCATGCCCAAGCGCGGGGCAGGCTACAAGGTGGGTAGGGCTGCTCACCGCTGCTGGAAAAAGCCGTAAGGGAACAGAAAAATCCTTCAGACGCCTTCAAACCACAACAATTCATATCCAGCTTCTCACCTCTGCCAGTCCCAAAAGCTCCTGGCTTCTGCCTTCACTGAGAAGTCAGCGCCAGGGCTGGGACAAGGGGGCTGAACAGGGTAACACAGGCGAGAGGCGAGCAGCCCCAGCAAAGCCTTTGGCACTCGCTCTCCTCTTCGCAGGGATCTACATGGGGTACGTGCCATGCCCTGGTAGTGGCGAGCAGCCCAGCGAGTGTGTCCCTGGGGAGCGGTGCTGGAAGACAACCTGGCTCAAGGGAATCAACTGGATGCTAATGCCTTGCTCTGCAGCGCAAAACTGGTGCTTGTGCTTGAACCTCTAATTACGGTCAGATCTCAGCACCGTTATCTGGAATTAAAGCACAAGTAGGTTAAGTTCCAGACAAAAAAACCCCAACGTAACAGAAATACATATGTTAACATTTAAATTAATTTCAAAACACAGATGGTAGAAAGCAGTATGGGGTGGTGAGAGAAAAGCAGCCCCACTTTGGGGCCAGGACCTGCTAGATTGGCTCAAGCCCTCTTGTGCAAGCGCGGGTGGCACCGACCCGGCCACCTGGTTAGGTGGAAAACAGGGATTTTATGTTGGGACAACTCAAGGAGCTGCAGCAGATGGGGAGCTGCTCTGGAGGCACGGAGAGGTGGCTGGGCCAAGGGGCTCCTGCACCCTGGGTGCCTGCCAAGGCACCCAGCTGAGCCCCGCGAAGCAAAAGGAAACCCTGCAGCCTCCTCGTCTCGGCCACAGGATCACACCTAACCCCACACTGAGCCCACATTTCCACTTGCTCATCATTACACTTACAGACTCATTCTTATCACCCTGCCCCGACGATCGCCCTTTTCACCTGTGCTGTGGACACATTCACTTTTCTGCCATCATCTCCATTTTAAGACCAAGCAGATGACTGAGTTTGGGATCCTCTGTTCCCAGGGTTTAGCACGTCCCCGCAGACCAGGTAACACTGGTGCTGAGCTGGCAGCTCCCAGCCTGTTCCTTTCAAGCAGCAATAATAACAGGACTTGATGCAACTGCATGAATCAAAGAAAACCTCCAGCACTTAATCCTGTACTATCAAGTTTTGTTCCTCACTTGAGTTCTTGAACTGAAGAGTTTTTTTGCCTGAGCTTTCCTGATGGCATGTCCTGGCTTGTCTTTTCCAATATGGAGAAAAATGTTGGGTACAAAAATGATCATCTCAAGTTTAACTGAGCTGCTTCTTTTCAGGGTTTCATCAGCGCCCGTTTTCCTTGTTTTAAAACCAAAATCTGTATTTTTTCCAAACGTCCGTGACAATTTTAAAACAAAACAAGTATCCTTCTCTTCCATCTGGTTTACAGATGGGAACCCGGTAGTTGGTTTCCAGCTCTGAATGTGCTATTGCCTCTCTGGCGTGCCCCGGGCCCCGTGGCAAACCCCACTACTGCGTCCCATCCAAATCTGGCACTAAAGGCTCTTGTTTGGCATCTGCCAACACAAGTTATTTGCTGCTCATTAAGAAGGAATAGTATTTCTCCCCCTTTTGCTTCATTTACTATCTCCCTCAGAGCAACTGCTAACTCCTCATCACAGATTACAAGTTCATGGCTGCCCCGGGATAATCCAGCCTCCTTCTGGCAGCGAGTGCCGCCACGCGGTCTGTGCCGGCGGGGTCTCCCGGGCCCCGCCCGCGTGGCCGTG